TACACAGCTGAAGAGGAAATAATTCACTGCTGGCTTGATTATTTTCAAGTCACTAATGAAACCACATTAGGAATATTTGAAAATGTAAAAAATATGCTAAAATCAAGTAGTTGGAACCCTGACTATGTACAGTTACTTGCAGCTAATACTGTTGTTAACTCTGGCTTATGTCCCCCTGTCCACAAATCGATAGAAAGTAGGAAAGAAAAATAATCTCTAGCTTATTGCTCTGTACATAACGACAAAACAGAAAAATACCGTCTGATTAAATCATCATTTGATTCAGAAAAAAAATCACTTTCCCTCATCTTATTCAGTCATTTTTCTCCCAAAGTTTCAGATTTAAAGGAGAGCTTATAAATTTTGAATGGGAAGAAATGTTCTCCATGAGACAATTACTTGCATACTGTACAGGTAAAAGGACCATAATCTGTTTTCTTGGTTTTAGAAGTTACTTTTGGAAGTTAAGTGGGCATTGTCAAGTGCCAATTTTAAAATCCCATTTTCAAAGATAACCTCATTGGAGGTGATTGATAGAGAGGTTTTCAGTGACAGAATGTTACTTTTTTTCAGATTGTACTGAGTGGTTCTTGCAAGTATAAGTCTTGCAAGTAGAACAAACTGGGTTTTTACACGATGAAATGTATAAGATAATGCATGCATTTAAGGGTAAGTTGCAAAAAAGAGCTGAGAAAAAAAAAGAAAACAAAGACATTTCACTCAGAGGTACATATTAGCTGCCAGAAGCAAGGCTTTATATTTTCATATGATCAAACAATACAAATAAACTGATTTAATTTTACTGAAAAGCATTAGTTTTTCCAGAAACAGTAAAAACTATTGATAATTTAAAATTTCTTAAAAGGCCTGATGTTATGTAGTTAGATTCAGCTGAGTACTTGCATATATCAGAAATCTTTGACTGGGAAATATTATCATATTCTAGTTTCACATTCTTGCTCTTTCAATTTCTTAAAATTGTTTAGTTTATTTAAAAAAAACATTTTCCTTATCTAATCAGATTTGGACAGATTGTGGAATCCTCAAGCAGATTCCATTTCAATGAAGTTTTTAAGTGCAGGGAATTTAACGTGTAACATGCTTTATGAATTTACTTTTAAAGCCAAACATAATGAATTCTACTAAAATTCATAATAAATTATTCTTCTATCAATCCCTTCAAGTTCATAAGTGAATTTTGCATCAGAGAAATTTAATATTATTTCAGAAATATGTGATGTACTAAAGGAAATAATATTTCCTTAGAATTTCCCTTCCTGTTAACATGTAGACGTATTTTTCCCCTTAGGATTGGCCCTTACTTCTTCTCAAAGGAGAATGTCTTTTTGGAAGTGTGGCTGCTCTGGAGTGTAGCTTCAGTTAACACATCCAGGCACAGTGTGAATATGTGGTATGAGTAGGAAAAATCTTGAGTCTATTTTTGTAGTGGGGCAAATTAGGTGCCTATAAGACTAGAAAACTTAGTGACAGAACACTTTACTGTACATGATCTTGGGATCACTTCATGGAGAACAGTTTCACCTTTCTGCTGCTGGGAAGAAGTCTTATTGAAAATTTTGCTGGTTTTTATTTGTTCCTGTGTTCATTATAGTAGTCAATGGTTACTGACAAAAAATAAAAAGGAAAAGAAAGAATCAGAAGGATATCAACAAAGTTTATGGTAGAGTGGTAGAACAGAACATAAAGAATATTATTAGAGTTCTAGGATGTTGCTTTGTCTGAGGCATCATTTCACTGAAACTTAACGTCCTGCCTGAACTCTCTAAGTGTGACTGTTACATTTCACAGAAATCTAAAATGGCAGGTATTAGCTAGCTAATGAAAAGCATTCCTTTTTTATATAATATTGACCTGTGTATGAGACCAACATAGAAACCTTTCTTCTGGCAGTTTCTTGTTAGATGCTGTGTGTTGGAGATCATTGTACCAGCTTTGTGCAAAGTAGTATATGGAAGCTGTTGACTTCACTGGGAACTGAGTATCTGTTGTCAGTGAAGATAAAGGTAATTTTCCTGAAGTGTGTACAGGCTTAGCTTCATTAGAAGTGAAGAACTGAGTGCCAGTTTCAAAAGTGACCTCTGTCCCTTCCTAGCAGAGTAAACGTATGAATATCATACTCCATTATCTGCTTGGTTGAAGACTGAAGCAATTCCAAAGATTAATGTAAAGGATGTACTGATCTAACATTCACTTCTGAAAAGGATTAATGGAGAGAACAAAAAGGATGAAATTGGAATTCAGATATTAAATGGAAATGTGCATTTATTTTTACTGGGAATATTTTGTTTTGCAGTTTGTACATTCTGACTGAATATTGTAAATACTTTAAATAAAAAAAAATAGAGGTAAATTGTTGAAAAAGTCAATGCAACTAATTTCAAAGAACTTTGATTGACTTTTCTTTTAAAAATGTTGCTTTGCTTTATATGACCTCAGTTTACAAAAAGAAAAATGTATTTTTTTAAAGAACTAAATAACTCAGAAGATTTGTGAACCATTTAATTTGTGTTGAAATGTTTTTATTAAGGTGAATGGAGTTACAGTGGCCCATTGCAGAGATATTTTGAATAATGATCATTTCTGGTGTGTTCTAGTTGCAGTGATAAGTAAAGGAAATGCAAAATGGGGGTTGGACAGTGGTGTTAGCATGGCCCTGCTTCTAGGCTAATGCAATCTGTTTCTCAGCCAGAATAGTTTACCTGGATGGAAATAACAGTGACACAGTTATACTGCTCCTGGTGCCCACTTTGCTCAGATCTAACTGCAGTACCTTCTCAGGACACTGTATTATGGAGCTCAAGGTCTTTCTTTCCTTTGGTGTTGTAGAAATCCTAAATATGCTGAGTCCTAAAATCCTAAATATCATTAAATATGTATGATATACTAGAAGGGAATTATGGCTGCTCCTAAATTTAGTCAAAATAAAGCATTCATATAAAATAACCTCAAATATGAATATCATGCAAAAACGTGTCCTGTAAAAAGACAGCACTGTCATTAGCCAGCTGTATACAAATGGTCTTTGATTCTATAAATACTGATTCTCACATGTAAGCTAAAAAAAGCAACTCTACTCACTCAGCATTTGGAGAAACCCATAGACATGTCTGGCATATTCCTCTCTGTAGAAGCTGAATGTGCCAAACTCTTGTCACTGGACTTTCAAGGACTAAAATGATACAGGATTGATTGTAAAGAAACAAGATCAGCCCTGCCATCTTAAACCTGGTGAATTAAGGGTGTCCTTTTTGAATAATAAAGGTATGCTGCGTACATTACATTGCATCCTTTAAGTGTATGGAGATGTGCAACTTTATGCTCATTGAGATGAAAGAAAAGTCTTTTCAGATTCAGATCTGTCAGCTTCCCTGAGAAAATGAAGCTAATAATACAATGAAAAACCTAGTGAGATAGGTTATGAAGAAAAATAGTCCTTAATGCCTTTAGTGCCTAGGCTTTAATTCCTAAGGTGATCTATTACCTGGTATTTGGATACATGCTAGCACTGCTTATGCACCTATTGATCATTTGCCATCTAAAGATGAGAGGCCCAGAGTGTGTTTTGGACTAGGATTACAGTGTCAGTGAATTAGGTTTCCTGGTGTTATAACATCAGCTTTGGAAGGATGGCCTGCCAAAAATGTAATAGTGCAGGAGAACCAGATGGCTCTTAGCAAAAACACTGTCCTCAGTTCAGACTACACGCTCTTCTAATTAACTATAAATAAAAAAATATACAATACTGTTTGTGTAATAGCATTTCTTTTTATACCTGCTTTTTAAAAACTTGGGAATAGACAAGCAAAAATGCAATAAAAGCAAGTTCAGAGTGGTCAAAGGCAAAGACATACCAGACTTTCCTCACAGCTTTAATTGTCCTTTGTTCAGATATACCAAGACTGCATCTACCAGGGGACCTAAGGAGATGTTTTCCTCTGGATTATCCCCAGCCCCTGTATTAGCCTGCATTGTAGAGCATATGCTTTGTGTCACATCAGCAAATGCTGACCCTGTCATGGATGCAGCCAGGCCTGTGATACTGAGAAGGTCTTTCATGACACGGTCAGGTGGCCATTTCCACAGGGTTCACAGGTAGACCAGTCTGGAAAGAGGAAAAGGAACATAAGCAAATCAAACGTGACCGTTCCCAGCTGCCAGTGGCTGGAACTCATAATTCAAATATTGGTTTTTACACAGTTTCTTCCATGGAGTATTAAATGCATAAATCAGTGTGTTTGTATGTTCACCTAGATCATTTTGTCTGCTTGTCCATGTGTATCTCAATTTCTGCAGTTATACCTACTATGACTGCTTACCTACAGAAAAACAGCAGTAAAAATGGAGTGAAAGAAAGAATGAGATTCATGTAAATTATGACATTGGCCTATTCAGAGCAGTAAGCTAGTGACCACTCAGCTTTTAGCATTTGAGGTACATGAGGTGTCTGCAAAGAAGCACCAACATGCCTTTTCCGTTCTGCTCTAGTATGGCTTGAAAAAGAGTAGCTGAATAATTGGTAACAAACAGAACAATTAATTTACTGAATTTACACAACACCCTCCCCAAAAGGCATTGCCATAATCAAGGGAATTTACCATTCTCCAGCTTACATGTGTTGCTCTTGTTCATCTTTCACACCTCTTTTATCAGTCTGCCCTACGACAAAAAGTCTCTGCAAATTGTACCTTGTAGCTGTGACTTTTCAGAGGCAATGGAAAAGAATGTGCTAGTGCAGAAATTGTTATGGCACAGGACCAAGGCAAGTGAGATGTTTGGCCTGTTTTCCAAAGTAGCTAGAGGGGAAAGAAAAGGAAAAAAAAGGAAAAACATTATTTCCTGAGGCAGTAAAAAACCAAACTGTAGCTCCATTGGCCTGAATGTATCCTGATGCTCTACACCTGGATAGATCTTGTCAAACACCAAATTGCAGTGGGAAGTGTGGAACTGATTTCAATTTGTGTATCATGCTTTCATTGCAGGAATATCAAATTGATATATTTTTTGCCCAGACGTGGACAGATAGCCGTCTTCGCTTCAACAGCACCATGAAAATACTGACTCTGAACAGCAACATGGTTGGCTTGATCTGGATCCCAGACACGATATTTCGTAACTCGAAGACAGCGGAGGCTCACTGGATCACCACCCCCAACCAGCTCCTCCGCATATGGAATGATGGCAAGATCTTGTACACCCTCAGGTGAGCACTCGGCAAGGTGCAGGGCTGAAAGCTTCTCCTGCCTCTGGCATAGTTGCAGTAATTTTCAGTGGTATCTTTGTTCTCCTCTGCTGTTTTCTTCCTGGTGCTTACCTGACCGTGCCTTTCAAATACTGAAATACTCAAGCGTAAGTACTGCCAAGTTTAAAAAACAAAGTTTTGTCTTTCTAAAGAAGAAACCTTGAGAACTGGAAATAGGCCTGTCTAAATTGTAGAAGTTGGGCTTTTTAGTGCTTGCAATAAAATCAGGAGCATGTAGTCCCATAAAACCTGTCAGAAACCTTTCTGATCAGAGTTAGATGCAGGGCTGCATAAAATATTTCTAGATTCATGCTAATGCCAATACTTGATTCTTCAAACAAATCATGCGGAAAGATAGTCTGTCACATCTCATCACAAGGGTGAATTGCTGGAGGAAAGGCTTTTAGAGTTTTTCTAATCTTTGTGATATGATCAACTGTATGGTATTAGAAACACTGTATATATTTGCATTAAAAAAGCCTGTGGAAATCTAAATATGTGTTTACTTATGGAAGAGTCGAATTGCTCAGAAGGGGGTTTTGCCATAAGCCATATTCCACACAGCAAACTGTTCCAGAAACATCCCTTTCATGCTACATTTTCTTCAGTAATTGTGTTCAGCTCTTTCAGTGCAACAGCATATTCTGATCATGCTTGCAATTGCGTTGGGCTCCAATAGAAAGTCCTTGGCAAACAATAAGGAAGGAAATAAACAGCTGGAAAAGCTACTGATATTTTTAGTGTCCTTCCCTTCTTAGGCTTGCTCCACTGTGAAGAAGTCTTTCTTATTTCAGTAGCCTTTAGCTAAAGACTGGTTGATTAGGATGTCAACTCCAATACCTTCTTGGTTGTGTTGTTGGGTTTTGTTGGGTTTTTTTTCCTATTAAGCCCTGTTTAGTATTTTCAGGGCAAGTCAAGTGCCTACCTAATAGTAGTGAGACTTACATACCTGTCACTAAAGAAACTATTTGTTGAATGAACTGCTTTGTCTAAAGCAGATAAGAAAGGGGTAATACATAACCCAGTGGATTATTTGAATGAGCATTTTTATCTGTGAAAGATGTTTTGAGTCCTTTTCACCCACTCAGGTCAGTTTTACATAGGAGGAGCTGTTAGAATAATCATTGTTTGTTGATAACACTGTGTAATTAAAAAACAATTAATCTGACTTAAGTGAGCACACAGAATTGGTATGGCATGGAAGCGGTAACTACTGTATGCCCTGGTACTGTCAGGTGTTGATGAGTGTTCTGTTTTCAGGAGAAAGTGTACAAGATTCAGTCATGCTCCACGCCTTTCCATCCTCTTCCCTGCCCGCTTTTGGGTGGTGTTACGGATGCACACATAACCAAATCCAACAGGTGTTAAAACTCAGATTTATTCTTCAGTATAAGTTATTTAGAAGTCTGGTAACA